AATAGAAATTTTAAATTACAAAAAAAAAATTGCGGTCGGGCGGGTGGGGTGGTAGCAGGGTGAGTGGTGACGAAAAAAAAATGCCTTTTTGGAGAGAGGGGTGGGTGGGGGTGGGTTGGTGAGGGTGGGAAAGATTAAGTTGGAGTTTTGGAAAAGGTTTTCCCTTCTCTTGATAAGGAAAACATTTTCCTCCAATTGGATGACAATGAGTTCATAAGGAAAATATTTTTCAAAACATTTAAGCCAACCTAATATGGGAAAATTAGAAAACATTTTCCGGAAAATATTTTTTCCTTCGTACCAAACACGCCGGAAGTTGTGCATTGTTAATAAACCGGGAATGCACAGCCTGCTATTGCTGTTGACGCTAACTTTATGAAATCAAATAGAAACAACTACTTAAGTTCTTACTCCCATAAAAGATAAGACACGAGGAAGACGATTAGGGATATATTAATTTGCCTCTCTACTTTTTAGCATAATAAGTCTCTTAAACTTGAGATTCTTGGCCATTCCTTTTTGCATGAACTTCAACTATGGGTCTGAAGTTTGATTCTGATCGAGGACACTTTGTAGATTAGAGGGAGAAATTCAAAAATAGCCAGATCTATAAGTGGTCGTTCAAAAATAGCCACAGTTTCAAAAGTCATCGAAAGTTAGCTACTTTTCATGTAAAATAAATGTGAACAAAAACATTGTTCAAAATTCGGAAAATACTCCAGCATAATATACTGGAATTTCAATATAATATATTATACTGGTCCAGCATAATATGCTGGAAGTTCATACACAAGTGCGCCGAACTCCAGTATATTATGCTGGACAGGTCTCTGTTGCAGCAAAATATTGGCTATTTTTCAATGACTTGGTAAATGCTGGCTATTTTTGAATGACCAGTCTGAAAACTGGCTAGGCCGTGCTATTTTAACAATTTTCAGCTATGGAGAATTATTGTTTATCCTCCTTGAGGTTGATGTAAAAGAAAGAAGCAAAAGTGAACATATTAAACTCCCATTACAAAACTCGAATTAAATCCTGGAGCTTAACAAAACCTCAATAGCATGGTAAAATCAACTCGAAATGTTCAAACAAATATACAATTGAAAGAAACACATTGTACTATTAGTAGAAATCCCACCTCCAACCTCTAAGAAAAACACTGAAATGTGTTCCAACTATTTGGAAAGTGATTTTAGGAACAAAACCAACTAGCTTTCGGAAGTTTTAACAGCACAAACAGTCTGCTGATTGAATATTTACACATCCCACTGACCTTGAGGACTATCCCATGAAACAAGTGACTTTACATGAGGCATGTACATTTGCACATCTCCAACATTAACCTCCTCCATTTCTTCAGCTTCAATATTGTAAATATGTAACAAAGGGTTTCCTCTTCTCTTGAAAAATATTTCCGTCGTCGAAGCACAAAGCGGAACAAATCCTGTGATATCATACAACCTATTGATGCTATATCTCTTTATCCAATTTTCCCTCAAGCCATCCTTTTTCAATATCCATACCTGAATCAAATTCAACGTTGCATGAGTTATGAAGCTCAGGGTGCCTCCAATCTCAACAAGACGATCGTTTTTTGTGCTGTTGATTGGTAGAGGTACAGTTTGGAACTTCTCATCATGAAATCCCAAAGACACAACATGGTTACAACTGTCCCTCTTTGGAAGCCAATACAAAGCGCCAACTGCTGAAACAGATCTACGAGTAGTACTGATTGATCCGAATTCTCCTGAATTAGGTCCATCCACTGCATGCCATGATCTTGTAGTAAGGTTCAGGATCTCACAGCGGATGTGTCTATGTTCGTCGCGGAACAAGTGTACTACTTTATAAGCACCTGTGAAGTGGCTGAACATGAACCCGTAGCACTCCTGCACGAAACCAATTGTACCAAGAGGCATTCTAATGTGGTTCCTTGTACTTGGATTTACAACTACTAGACCTCCGTTTTTCTTAATTCTAGCCAGGACCAGACCGTTGCAGGCAGCCAAAACGCACTCTAAGTTCCTCAAATTTGGCATACAAACTTTGTGGCCTTTACCGCTATGGATGTCCCAGAAATGGAAGTAACATTGATTTGGCTTATCTGAAGGTAGTGGAAAAGGTGACCGTATGTTTTCCTCGCGAAAGGACTTTTGAGTAATTAGAACTGTCTCAGATTGACGAAAGTGAGCTTCAACAAAAGCCGGACTGTTGATCATGTTGAGAAGTGTCCTGCATATGCAACGCAGTCTGCAGAGAGTTTCAGCTGGAAGTAGAAGAAAAACCTTAAAAAGCAAGTCATAAGGAAGCCAGGTCCCCTTGGTTTCTAAATTATTTTCCATTTCTTGTTTTGTTTCCCTTGATGTTGTGCTTCGTCTCAGCTGTTCAAGCGCGATTGTTTCTACAGATGACAATTTAAGCCACTTTTTACCTCTTGGCCACCTGTCCCTCATGACGTAAATCCTATGCAATCAGAAAGCTCTAAAATAATTCTGCAGCCAAATGAAAAAACATTTTAAAAGGAAAAAAGCTTCATGCCAGTATTTCGTTATTCTTTCAACGTTTAGGAGGGTGGGCCAGAGGATTACAAAAATTACAAGAAAGAATTTCCCGAACAAAGTTTCAGCAATCTGCTTAACTCATAGTTTTACATAGAAAACTCCATCAGTTGTTTGTTCTTTCCATATGGAACTTAATGCTTGTCTATTCCCACCTTACCTAACCTAAGCTTTTGTCTCCACAATGACAAAAAGATGCCCTTGTCATGAGTTTTTTACAAGGAAAAACTGCAAAGAAAAATAGTTGAAGAATAAACTACAAGGACCATTAGCGTCTTTAAGCGGAAGAATGGCTTCACAGCCGTTTGCTAACTGAGAAGATGTGAAAATAACTCAATAAATTAAGAAGGATAAGTCAGGAATACCAACTATTTAACTGGTTGTCCTTGTATGAGTTCATATAATTTCTGATAGAGAGAAGGATGACTTAGGGACCAATTGTTAGATCTATGTACTCCAAGTATGATAGGATTAAAGAATGAAAATGGACACTTGCAAGAAACATCCAAAGATAAGGTTGCATATGTCTGACTATATCCATCCTGTTCCATATTTGCATTCACATAAAGCAATTTGTGTTTGTGATGAAATTGAACAAATATAATCTGACAATAAAAATGTAAGCAAAGTAAATTCAAGGTCATGCTTCAATTAAATCACCAACAGACCCGATTACAGAGCTCTACACAGAATACGGCAAAACAATCATTATTAAGCAGCACCTCTCCATTTTAAACTTGTGCCTCAGTGAACACATCAGTAAATCTCGGCGTGTCACTAACAAGTCTAGCAGAGTGCGCAGGTATTAGAGATGACATGAGGCTTAAAATACTAGAATACATCATCCTGGATCAGTTAGATAGCCGCGCACGCATAGATTGCCAGTCTTTTATGACAAAGAATAAGGAAACTCCTTAGATAGTACTAGTAGTTTTCTGGAACCGTCACAACTCCAACACGGGCTTTGGTCTAGTGAAAAGAATTCTACTTGTCACTTCATTTTTCAACACAAGTGAGCAGATAGGACAAGTGAATGTAACCAGAACCCATGGTACTAAAAAAGTTCAACTTATAGCTTGTTTGGATGGTAATGCATTGTTACTTTAAATATATTTGTTTTGATTGTTACTTAAATTTTATTATATCGCACCGTTAAATCCGTCGTTACATAACGATGAAAATTATCACTTTATGTAACGACCGATTTGGTGTGGTCGCGTCGGTACCTTACTTTTTTCTCTCATCTTGCCCTTCCTTATTATTAAATAAACCTATTTTTTCCTTTATCCTACCTTTTTACATAATGATTCTATCCCGTATCCTACTTTTTCTTTATAATATTACAAGTTTATTCTTCATGGTGCATCACATCATGAAACGACGGCAAACGATACAATCTATCCAAACGTTGTATTCATCAAAATAATACAATACAATATAGTACAATACGATACATAATGAAACGACATATAACAACCTTCCAAACAAACTGTTAGTTACCTATGATGATAAGTTCATAGCTCGATATCCCAGCTCATGCTGTGGTGAGTCATCTTAACATTGGACCTTGAAATGAGCAAACAGTGGCGAAGCTAGAAAGTTTCCCAAGGGTATTCAAATTTGAAAGAAGTGAAAAAAAAAATTCCCGACAAAGGGTATTGAATATGTGTTATATACCTCTAAAACGTAATATTTTACCTATATTCACAATGCAATTTTTCGGCAAAGGGTGGTCAGTTGACCACCCTTGTGACCTTGTGGCTTCGCCACTGTGAGCAAAGACAGACAGTTGAATTTAGTTAGTGGAAACCAATCAACGCATCAGAGGTTTTCAATGGAAAATTACAAAACTAACTAAATGAGACATAATTGAGCAACAAAAGAAAGAAAAACAGACCCCTAAATGAATCCTCTCCAAAATCAGTATCAAATAACAGGAAGAACAGAAGATAGAAATTGTCACTTTCTAAAGTACTAAAGAAGTGTAGCAGTATTAGCAAAGGCGAAAAGCATAAAAAAAGCTCTAAGGTCTGTTGGGGCTTTAAGCACAAAGAGCAAATAAAGCGCGGGCTTTAATGAAGAAAGGCACAAATAGAGAAAAACTACAAATATGTATGTGTAGTCCAAGACTAACATTATAAGCATGAATATCAAATATATGGACAAAGAAATTGAAGAAAATTTACAATAAAGTGAAATATCAATTGTTTAATGTCTCTTCTTCGGGATTACGTTCATTGGCAAGGAAAAATATGCCTTAGAGCCTTGATGACAACACTAAAGCGTCCACTAAACAAGGCGAAGCACTCTACATGTTTTGAGTTAGGGCTTAAGCGCGTTTTAAGCGTGCCATTGATAACAGAAAAGTGTAGCAAGTGCATCACAGTCTACAAAAAAGGGCAACCCAGAACATAAAGCATCCCGCGTTCACGCAAGGTCCGGAGAGGGCCACACCCCAAGGGGGTGTGATGTAGGCAGTCTGCCCTGATGCAAACATCGATGGCTGATTCCACAGTTCGAACTCGTGACAGACAATTTATGTCAGTTGCCAGAATGAAACCTTCTCATTTTTAAGTGGTAAAAGTTAAGTACTCTTCCCGGCAAAAGTAAACTCATTTCTTGCCTTACAAAACCAACAAAATGGAGACTATTTATCAGTACATGTTTAACTTATAAACAATCTCTGCATTGTTTAACGTAATCTTCCAAGCATGAGATTTCACTATCATTCCCAAATATATGGGAATGATAGTGAAAATAATGGTATTAAATGTTCAAAAGCTCGGTCAAAGAAGAATTTAAGTTATATACACCAACAACAATTACTTTTTACATTATAAATGTAGTTCCAGTTAAACAGGTTACCATCTTTAACATGCCACTGAGCATGCTTATTATAGACAATTTACATGTAGTTGGCTTTTAAAAGACCTAATACTGTAAAAAAACAAGTTACACTTTTCTGCTTATAAAACTTTAAGTCTGTCAAGAAAATATATGGCTTTCGCTTTGAAGGCATTTTACCAATTTATTCTAGCTAGTTAATACTTCAGAGTAGCCAAGTTAGGCTACAACAGAAGCAACTTACACTGGTCTTAATCTTGTAATAAACCAAATAGTATCACTTATATATTGCTCCTGTTGCATTGTTGTTGCAACTGTTTGTTACTTTAATTTTACTGTTCCCTGAGCCGAGGGTCTATCGGAAACAACCTCTCTACCTTCACAAGGTAGGGGTAAGGTCTGTGTACATATTACCCTCCCCAGACTCCACCTATGGGACTACACTGAGTTTTTTGTTGTTGTTGTTGTAAAGTGTAGTGGCTGAGCCACCTTTAACCAAAACCAGAAAATTACACTAGGATAGCTAGACAAAAGTTTCTCTCATGTATTAATACTATATAAAGTCAAATCCCCTTTATGTTTTTTTAATATATTTTGATAGCTCTTAGTGAAAATCGTAGCTTCACCACTGCTAAAGTGTATATATATTAGTTCTAATTTACCACAAATTTATACATATTGTTGATCCATCTGTTAGACTTGTTAGACAAATAGCTAATTAACAGGAGCTCTGTTAACCCAATTCAAGTCAAGATTAGCAAGGAAGTTAAAAAAAACATCAGAAGTGTAAAATCATTCAAAGTAGAAAATAACAACGCATGGTTCCTTCAGTATATAGTTCAGTGATCGCACAAGAAAGCAATTAAAAGAAGGCATGATATGATTATCACAATCTCAGACACAAATGAAAGTAAAATTAAAATAAATTACTTTTATTTTTAAAGTTCATGGCTGACCTTGGCTGTTAATAGGAGACCTTTCTTCTTCTTTCTTTTCTATCCTGACGATGATGATCGGCGAACTCTGGTCAGTCAGCATGTGAAAGTAGACACAAGGTCATGAACTTTTTCTCACAATTATCTTAGGTATTATATTTATATATTGGCTCTAAGAGACTAAGACTGAAGGGGAGCCAAGCAATGGTAAAATTGTCTCCGCGTTACTTATAAGTTACGAGCCATGGAATACGAAATCGGCGTGACTTATAGGTTACGAGCCATGGAATACAAAATGATTGAGATATTGGCTCTAAAATATTTATATCACGGTAGGCTGCTTACATATCCCTTTCTCGAACCTAGGTAAATACGAAATGCATCGTATACCGAATTGAGAGCCATGCAGTATGTATTTAAGTGGAGAGAGTTGGAGCGGTAAACCCATTATTAAATTAGCTCTAGAGACAAATTAAGGTTTTAAATTTGATGAGTTGATATTAGAGTTTTTACAACTTATTATGGAAAATATTAAGTTCCGTTGACCGGTTAATAACATGCTACTTAGCCCCTAAGGAATTTGTCGATCATTAAAAAAAAAAAAATATTGATGGTTGATCGATCATTGATATTGCCTTTTTAAAAGCAGCCAATAAGGGTAAGTTTGGAGGAAGTCTGACACGGAGAGAGCGACTCCTATGTGGAATAATGGTAGGAAAAAAACCTTAAGTAGTCCCTTAAGTATAGGGCAGGTACATTTTTGTCCCTGTTATTATATAATGATGGACACAAATAGTCCTTCATCTTTACAAAACTACATAGATGATGTTGACTCTTTACTAGACATCATAGAATCCTTGTAAGTTGTAAGATGAGCAAAGAAATACTTTTGCTTTTCTGGAATCTGCAAATATGGCTACCAACACAGCTTTTGTGCTGATGTTTAATAAGATGTTACCTTCCTAAAAGAGAAACTCAGACCATATAAATTCTTTTCTATAAGATGTAAATGATGATGAACATGACGATATTATATTGCATTGCTTAATTAGAAGAGAAAAAATTGAAACGCATTTATCATAATCGTGTGAAAACTTCTTTAGATCACATCAAGATCAACTTTGAGGGAATGTGAAAACCTACTTTTGGAATTCAGATTACTAAGATCAAGGATGCAACCTTTGCAAAACCAGAAGTTCTCATGCATGACCATAGTTTTAGTCAAACAGTTGATTCTTTTCAAGGTATCATATCAAACAAAAAAGGGTGTATAGAAATGTATTCAACAAGACCTGTCATTTATGGCCCCAGTATTGGCACTTGGTTGTATTCTGCATCACTTTACCAATTCTCTGTTGTTGATGACAGATTACAGAGGAAAGAATGGCGAAAAAAGACATTCAGTTCTTGTGCTTGAACCCAAATAGTTCATCCATGCAAAGACTTGGATTGTGTAATTCCATTATCTAAATAGTCAAAACTAAATAACTAATGGAGTCTCAATATATGGGTTACATTTTCAGACGTGTGGTCAACTGTTGGCACTCAAAACACCAACGCATATAAATGATCATCATAGTCTTCCTTAAAATGAATAGAGCTATTTGACTCTTCGTTGTAATTACACTCTAATGTGAAACATGTTATGGTGCTACATCTGATACTCTACAAATTTTCTTCCATTTGGATGTACAGGTGATCCAGAAACTCTCCAAGTTAATGATACACAAAGTTGGATGCGATGCAGTCCAGACGAACATCCAGTCTTTGCTCTCTGAATCGTTAGGCCTTGTTCTTCTAATATTTGTGGAATGTACATCTGCTTTCTGCAAACCACATGAAAACTTATCCCTTAAAACAAAATTCTTCTGGCAAAAAGATTGTCATTGGTGATGAATTAGCACAGTACGAGGGAAGTTGGTCTTCCAACTCATTCTCAGTAGTGAAGATACTTGACTCCTTTTTGCAGACTTTGTATTATTTCTGGGGAGTTTTCTAGTTTCAGCTCAATATCTTTTGACCATTAATAGTCCCCCTTGTTTTTAGGTTCTTGAAATTGGGAAGCTCCTATTTTGGAGGAAAACCAATTCTACGGCTGCTAATCCGAACTTTTTTCATCTCTCAGAAAGATAGTCAGGACCTTCGGACACGATTACTAGAGGGAAAGCACAGAACCATCACTTAAAAGTTGCCCAGCTTTTGCCTCCTACGACTAAAGAATTCAAAGCACCAAGAACATCACAAAATCATGCATTAGAAAAATAATAAGACCATCATTATTCTGCACCCTTCAAGAAATAAGCTGGCTATTCCTCAAGCAGTGAGGTATATAAAAGTATGTCCTAAATCACGACGTTAAATGAGGAACAAATCAACATCCCTTGCATTGAAGCACAAAGTACATTTTAGCAAGTCTCGATCCTGTTGTCACATATTTTGGTTGTCATTTTACGCTTCCTTAGGATAATTTAGCTGTTGAATATTCCTTATCCCTTTTAACAAAAAAGAACGAAGCATACCTTTAAAATCATACATAGTGCGACAGGAGATCATATGTAGAATTCTTCAATCTGCAACTCTGCCCCAGGTGAACATCCCCGAATAAATATCTGCATCATCGTAACCAGAGAAAGCTGGCCTAAATACAGTGAAGGAGAATATTATTTTGCATTATTCAATTGAAACACTGTTACCTGTATTCACAATGTTCAGGCCATGCGCATCGGGCTTTTCCATAATCCCAATAGCAGTCCTCATCCCTCAGAGGCCCACGCTTTGCTTTTTGTTGCAATGCTTACAATGTCAATAAAAACTCAACATTCATAGAAGAAGTGAATGAGGAAACAGACCCACCTTTTGTAACAAAGTTAGACTTTTTATCAGGATGAATATCATGCCACATCTCAAGCCACAGCTCCCGCATCAAAACTGGAGATCTGACAATGTTCCTGTGATTTGCTACCCAAGAAAATTTACAGTCATCAGATCGACGATTTGCATGAGGTGCAAAATGTCTAAGGTGGATTCAATATCTTACATCTAGAACAATCCAACATTACCTAATTTATTCAATGCAGTTGGACAAGATCTTTAATCTTGCATCATATGGAAACTGAACATTTGACAAGATCTTTATTCTTGCATCATATGCAAGATTGGTTTGAGGTATAAAACGATGTACCATGTCTTAAATCTATCCCGTGTCAAATGCTTACGACCGTCGTAAACCGATGAAGGAACCAAGAAAAGTAATTTTAGTCTATGGAATTGGACAAGCTCTCAAAAACATGCTACTCAGGTAAGCTGGAAATTCCAATGTCTACTTTCTGAACTAAGATATAAGTTTTCTCCCCAAAGAATAATTATCCAAGAAGAAAATTTAGATCTTCTGCAAAGTTTAACTATTAGAATGATGCTGGGGCATGCATTAGAACATAGAAAAGATATTCAAACACCTGTCTGTTCTTCTTTTCTTCCC